ACATGGTGAAGGACTGGACAGGTCCCAAATGGCCAAAAAGAAAAGCTCAAAAGACTGCAGAACAAGTTTTGGCAGAAAAACACAGAGAAAGATCTGTTGTCTATTGTGATGGACCCTTTGAAGTTTTCTGGATCTAATCTGATTTTTGTCTGTCATTCTTTGCCAAAAAAGATAAACCCTGCCAGGGAAAAACCCACCTTCCCTTATTCTTATATTAATACAAAAACAAATGGTCTGTTTTAAATATCAAACACTTAAACGCAGAACCTTTCTTCTATGATGTGTTGGAGAGTTCAATATTTGCAAGCTGTCATACTGGCCATTATAACAGACCAAAGTTGTTTCTGTACCTTGTATTTTATCAAATGATGTCAGAATATAAGCCTTGGTCCTACATCTACAGCTGCATCCAAATCAACCCACTGGCTCCATCCACACTTCACTGAACTGGACAGAGGCTTATTTACAAAAATGTCTGCATACGGTTGTCCAAAATTTATTTTTTATTTTTTTTTTTTTTGCTGATACTGAAAATCTTCTGTTACTCTGTAGTAGCCATTTCTTTTAATAGTGTCTAACATTATATTACATTATTATACCACAGTGTTATGAGCCTTTCTAGGCTGTCATCTAACACAGTCTTTAGGCATAAGCTTACCTTTAAACCTTTCCTTTGAATTATTTCAGTTCATACTTTCAGGTGCCTTACTTTCATGCCTTGTTGGAGGGGGGACGCAGTCAACAATACTGAAAATACTGAGCTAAAAACTACCATGTAGTCACTACATTGTGATGGCTCAGCCTGCCACTGACACTATTCCCATGAAAATGACAGCATTTACTATGTATTACTCTAAGCAACTGTACTGAACATTTCACATCCATTTGCAACTAATACATTGAAGTGCCCCAAACCCCATTCTGCCATTGCTATTGGCAGATGTTTTTTCACAGTGGCATTCATAAGAGTGCCATTCATTCTTTGTTGGCTAAGTAGCAAATCTGGAGTTAAAGTAGGTGTTAATTCAGAGTAGCAATAAAGGAAATGGACAAGACAAACAGGAGTCCAGCAAATGGGAACTTCACCCTGACAAGATGGCAAATACACCTTCATAATGGTGTGACACCAACACTTTAAAGGCTGTGTTCTCCTGCCAGCACAACGTGTTCTAAACAGCTTCAAACAACCATGTGTTTTACATTAAAATACATTGTCTTACCTGCTTGGGTCTCTTGTATTATCCCAAATAAATGTTGCTATTCCTACACAAACTCCTGCTGCTTATCCAAATACAGTTCTTGTCTCCCCAGCTGCACAACCCTAGACTTCTGTTCAATAATGGCATCAGCCATTTATTTGGGCATGTTCCTATTTTATTCAGGTCATTCCAGACTTTTTCTCTGCTCTCTACAGTTGCATTAACAGCTTCCTTCCTATTTTTAAATCAGTAGCTAATTTCAGCAACTAAATGCCCATTGTTTCTTTCAGGGTCACTCATAAAACAAACACCATTATTGATCTTTCTGAATCTACCACTAGTTTTCCCTTTTATCTCATCTGAGTGACTATTCAAGGGGCAATTTCTCAATAAACCAGGGCATTTATCCTAGATAAACTAGGGTATCTGAAGGAAGAGATTTTCTGTCTGTGTGTGCTAACACAGCTCCTATCACGGCAGTATCAAAGAAACTCATAAACCTTAGGGATTTTGTCTACACAACATCTTTTTAAAGGGACAAGAATTGTTAACTGTCTTTTACAAACAAGGAAGTAAGACACAGGGGATTTAGTGCTTCAAAGGCAAAGACCACTCATCAAATGTACAACAAATTAAATTCTTATTTTCTACATTTTAACCACAATGGCATCTTCCCTCTGTTTTTGTAGGCTCTCTGGATGCACAGTTGCTTACTCGTTAGATTGATGACCTGGTCAGTTTGTATTTATTCTGCATTTTTGATGAGCATCTAAAGACAACAGACATCACAGACAAACATAAAAACCGTGTTAAACGGAACTGTATTTCCTTTACCATTATTATTAAAATTCAATACAATTCTAAACCTATTTGTTGTCCTCCAGTCAAGCTAAAGGAAATTTCAGCTTTGCACAAGAAAACGTGATACCAAAAAGCCTTTCAGGCCTTCAAGGTAATAAGACCTAAGTGACCTCTTTCAGCCATCAGGTGTTATTATTGTTTTGGCCAAGTGTGGCAAATCCAGTCCTTCTCAAATGAATTAATGACCAATCCACAAAGAAACGTTAAATGCAGTTTGAGTGCTAGAGCACTCCATCAGTTATAAGATACAATTTTCCAATGGTGCCTTAGCATTTAATCATTATTTTGCCACTTTTTGAATCTTTTTTCTCTCTTTACTCATAGGGATGGTTTGTCAGGTTTGTCAGGCTTGTTCGTACTGATCACTGGATCAACACAGCTCCAAAGAGAGGGGTGGGAAGCAGGAATTGGGAAGGCTGCCTGTGCTGGGTTTGTCTGCAGTGCTGTGGTACTTGGAGCTGGCTGAGCCCAGAGGCACCATCCCTGGGACAGACAGGAGCCACTGAGCTGGGGGCAGGTCTGAATTCTGCTGCTGGAGCCTCTGGATCTGAGGAACCTCCTCTGCCTGACACTACCCATGTGCACAAAAATACATGGCTGATTCTGAGCCAGGTCAGTTATGTCTGTGTTTCATTAAAGGGCAGGCAGATCACTTCTGTCCTGCTCCAACACTTCGTAGGTTTATTAAACACAGTTTAAAAAGTTTGTCCCTAGACAGGAGATTCATGCCAAAGGTCTCACTGATGCCAAACACCATTTGGTAGGGGCAATAACACTGCCATTTAAATGTATTGTTACTCATATTACTAAAGCTACATATTAGCATGAAATATAGAAGTTTTTATGAGAATACAAAGATCAAACACGCTAATTGCATAATGAATAGAGAAGTAGCTAGCAACCACTCAAGGATCTGGAAGCAAGGGAATCCCCTGGATAAAAGGCATTCAGTTAATCAGAAGTACCCGAGATGCATTCTCAACTCAAATATTTCTTTGCTCCTTATTTGTATGCCAAAATGTTTTCTGTGAAGCGAAATAAAGACTGATGTTCTCACTAGGTTTTTCCTTCATTGAAGAAAGTGTGCATCAGGCAAAACTTAGCAACCAAAATGATGAAAAGTCCTAGCAAATATAGCATGAACTGTAATTTTAACAAGGTTCAGGCAGACATCAGCTGATCTACCATGGAGTTGTAGGTAACAGCATCACAAGTCACAGGAGCACATCCTGTGCACACTCTACTGTACTAACACCCAGCACTAATGCTCCCCTCTCCTGACAGCTCTCTTCCTACCTGGTGGTAGACTCTGGGCTCTCTACAGGTTTGCCTCTATTTGCTAAGTCATGTTAAAAGTAGAGGCTGCTTTGTCTTCACTTGAACTTTACATCCTGTTAGTCTGCACAAAGGAAGTGAGTTATGTGAACAGCACACCTATTTTTTCCTAGTCAAGATGTACTTTGTTGGATATTATTGCCATTCAGGTGCCTATTTAGCAATCCAGTCAAAAGCTATGACCAGCTGCAATGCACATAATGATTTTTTGAAAGGAAAGAAAATGCCATTAAAACAAAAGGCCCTGCTCTGCTTCTGAGTAAACAAATGGGAGTTTTACAAAGGCTCAAAAAGGAAAGGGATTAACATGCTTCAACGTGGTAATGGTCTCAACTGTTCACATTAAAATTTTCACAGTAAATTAAACCATGACAGAGGTAGGAAAGAAGTCAATTTTCAGTGGCTCATGCTGTTGTGCTGACACAAATTGCCATTTTTTAGGTAGTATATCCACCAACCTGTATAATGATAGAATTACAAAACCACAACCCGTTGTTGATTATGTTCGGCCTTTTGCATGCTAATTTTAGCCTGCTCTGCCAAAATAATTGCATGCACCACCTCATTACCAGGCTTCTGGATATTCAGAACCCTGTCGCTATTCTTTTTTCACTGACCTTTGCTTAAGCCTGCTGTGTTGGCCTTCCCTCCTTGTACAGTGTCTGCTGTTCAACAACACTTCTGCTTCCCAGTTCTGCCCAGGACACCTTTCCAGCACTTACACCCATCCTTTTCCAGGGCTGTCTTGCCAAGGCTAATGCTAAATGTCAGTCCATCTCTGCACTGCTCATCCATGTTTCCCTGCAGGTTGCACACAACTCTTCACTATCTTCATGCTCTTTACAGTCTATAAAGAACAGCAACTTTCCTTGACTAGCGAATGATGGCATGAAGCACTACCCAATCATCCCAGCAAGGCCGGGGAAGACAAGTAAATACAGACTCACTGGTTGATGCCTGCCAAGAGTTCCCACAACACGTGTCACTTAGTGAGTTTACACAACAGTGACCAAAGAGGAGGGAAGGGACAGGCCACGGAAGTGTGCCAGTACCAGACCCCCCACAGAAAGCTCTGCCCTGCGTTATTGTAGCAGCACCAGAAATGGATGTTCAAGTACAATCAGCACTTATCTGACCGTCAAATGACCACGGTGCCTTTGCATCTCAGTTGTATCACGGCAGCGTAAAACAAAAAAATGACAAAGGCCTATGAAAGAAAGTCAACCCAGTAAAGAGCAAGGTGCAGTGGGAGGTGCGGGAGACCCAAAAACCTGGGTGCAGTGGGGTGGCACCAGGGCTGGGGGGCTGCCACAGAGCCAGACCCGATTGGCCTCACCCAGCCTCCCGAGCCGGGCTGAGCCCGCCGCCCCGGGGACACGCACAGCCCGAGCCCGGGCCTCGCCCCCCGCAGACCCGTCCCTGCCCCGGGCCGTGCCCCATCCCCGGGGTCCCCGGGCCCGGCCCGCGGCGCTGTCCCGGCCGGTCCCCGGCCCGCGGGGCGGCGGCGGCCCTGCCCTGCCCGGGCCGCGGGGGGCGGCGGGGCCCCTGTGCCTCCCGGGGGAGCCCGGGGCCGGGGCGAGGGAGGGCGCATAATAAACAGCATCGTTTTGATGCAGGCAGGGCTGCCGGCTCCCCAAGCCTCCTCCCCGCGATAACAACCCAGGTACAGCCCGCGCTCGCCCCCCTCCCTCCCCCTTCCTCCTCCTCCTCCTCCTCCTCCACCTCCTCCTCCTCCTCCTCCCGGGGGGCCGGGGAGAAATCTACAGATCAAAGAAAAGATGCACAATAATAGCGGGGTGGGCGCGCATCGTGGCCCCCCGTCCGCCGGGGCCGGAGCCGGGGCCTCCGACGGCTCCTGGCCGCGGCCCGGCCGCTGCCCGCCCGGCCGCGGGGCGAGGGGGGCGGCGGCGCGGGGCCGGGCGCCCCCGCCGCGGTACTCACCCGGGCCGGCCAGTGCGGGTACCCCTTCATTTTGGCGAACACCAGGTCTCCAGCCTTGTATTCTCGGGGCCGCGGACGAGCCATCGGGAGCCGCCGCGGGAGCCGCCGTGTGTCCCCCCGCCCTCCCGCACGCCGCCCCGGGGGCAGCCGGGCGAGCCCCCGCGGGGTGCGATGCGCCCGGGCACGGGGCGCAGCCGGGAGCGGGGCCGGGCCGCGGGCGATCCCCGATCTCTCCGGCGGCGGCGGCGGCAGGAGGAGATGGGGTGTGTGTGTGTGTGTGAGTGTGAGTGTGTGTGCGTGTGTCTGTGTGTGTGAGTGTGTACGCGGGGGAGGGGGAGGCCTTGGACACAACCCCAGCAGCCCCCGGTACCAGGGAGCGGGCTGGCCGGGCGGGGGCGGCCGGGGAGCCCTCGCCCCGCGGCGGCGGCGGGCGCGGCGCTGCCCGCGGCCCCCCCGTGCGCGCTGGGCTACGCCGCCCGCGCCGCCCGCTCCATCCCCGCCGCAGCCGCCGCGGCCCCGGGAATATGGAGCCGTCTCCGACGAATTACTCCTCGGGCAGCGACCGAAAACAGGATCTTCTTATCCCCCCCACCCCGCCCGCGCCTCCCCCCGCGCTTTCCCTTCCTGTTATTTTCTAGGTACACAGATCGGTTTCTATGAAAATAGGAGAGCAGAGAGCGCTCCAGTGCCGCCCGGCCCTCCCTTCCCCGCTGAAGCATGACATGGTTCTTTATGCGCGCCCGACATGGAGGCAGGGCGGCGAGGAGAAGCCGGCCGGCGTCGGCAGCAGGACTCCGCTTCCCCCGGCCAAAGGCGCCCGGCCCTTGGGCCTGGGAGCGCCCTGGCCCCGCTGTCACGGAGGCCCAGGCCCAGCACGGACCGGCTCCTCCGGGTACCTGCAGACCCCTCCCCATGCCAGGCAGCCTGAGCAGACCCTAGGCAACGGCCTGGCTCCGAAGCACAAGGTTGTCCCAGTTTCTGTACCCAGCCTCTCCTCCAGCGCCAGACCCTCCACCTGCCTTCTCAGCTTAAAACTAAAACCCACATACACCAAGCCATGGACCTCAGAGCTGCACAATGGTGATGTCCCCTTGCAGGGTGTTTGGGATCTCTTGCTTGCCAGGTGATGCCAGTTTTTCCCCGTGGAAGGGAAGCCCTGGTAACCCATATATCCCAGATATTGCTGCTTTTACCATAATGTTATTAATTCAGCTGTAATGTTCAAACATCAATTATTATTGACATTTATTACACTCAAGTACCTTATCTAGTAAAACTAGATAGGCACCTGCTAGGCGGGTCACAAGCAGCAAAGTTAAGGATTTCTGCAGGTCTGGCTGAAACTCTAGCAATAGGTTCCCCAACCACTCCCTCATTTAAGATGGCAACTGTCCTCTCTGGGTTTAGGGAGATAGCTCTGGCTGGTACTGCCTGACTCCCAAGGAAAGCACCTGGCCACAGGCAGTTCCTGCTGATGAAGAAAGAAATAGATGAGTGAAGACTGTAGGGTCACATTTTGAGGAGGGAGTAGATGGACCACAGAGGGCACTTCCAGTCTGCAATGGCTGGTAATGGCAGAAAAATAAGATAAATAAATGCTTCTTCTAGCACCTGTTCCTGGGCTGGCACAGGACCAAGAAGACTTGCTTTTTATGGTAGCCCCAGATGTGGCTCTGGAGCCCAAATGCTGCTGTTGCTAGTATGTAAGTCAAGAAAGTTTTCACTCTGGGTCATAAAAAAGGATAAGCACTTCCCTGCTGGTGGAAGCACTGCTGTAAAATCATTAGCTCAGGTATCAGTAGTAGACTAATAATGGAAAAAGAATTTCAAAAAGCTAGATAAACATTTAGATAATCAGCCTGCACTGTGCTCAGTGCTGTTACCTGTTCTGAAGTACTGATCAGTGACAGGGTTGCCAGTGCAGCCACCTGCAGTATATACATCTGGCCAAACAGCTCATTTTCACTTTCATATCAAATTGGATTTTGTATCCTCTTAAATTGATACCTAATTCCCTTCAGAAAAGTGTAATATAAGATCTCTGAGTATAGGAGCTGGAGACTCTGATCTGACTCTCCAGAATAATCCTACGTGCTTCTTACACACACAGGATTACCTCCCAAAACCAGCCTTCCCTCCAGAATACTTACTAGAGAGGTGTAGCTTTTTTTTTTTTTAATGCATTGTTTGCTTTTCATCTCAGATATAAACAGCTATTTGTAGTAACTTAAGAGACCTTAAATCAGAAAGGAGCAGGATGTGTGCCAGTTTCTTGCAAAAGGAAACTCTATACTTTATGTACACACCCAGACAACAATGTATTGCTAATGTCAAAATAGCAACATTTGAAGTGACTAGATACAGAACTGAAACATCTCTTGGCAACATGAACATTTGTATTTCCTTTTGTCCCAACACTGGTGTCTGAAGAGAATGCAGTGAATGGTTTCTAGTCTGCAGTGAAGATAATAATATACTAGAGCTCCAGAGAAAACTCATCCCATGGACATGCAAGGATGCAGCTCTCTTTTCCTTGTGAATAGACTGCAAAGGATAAATGAGTTGCTAAAGTAAGAACTCTGTTCAGGTTTAGCCAGCTGAAAACTCTTAAAACACTCTGCAGATAGTTCCTCCATCAAGCTATAGTTAAGATGCTGGGCAAAGAAGGAGGAGAAAAAGCAAATTTCCTTGCTGACAAATGAAAAAGCAAAACAAATGTTTACACATTAAGAGGAAAGCAAAGAACACTGGCACAAAACACAAGGAGTTTGGTAGTGTGCATAACCTCAGCCATTCATCACAGCACACAAAGCCTGAGCTCTCCCTAGGTCACCTGTATTCTGTTCCTTTCTCTTCTCTTACAAAGGGGAGTTCATCTACTCCTTCCATATGGAAGTGGAAAAGAGGAGTGATGAGGATTTCTTCCAAGCACTTCAAGAGCAGTTTCAGATCAGAAACTGCAGAGGTGCAGAGGGTTTCAGAGGCTTGCTGATAGATGCACTGCATATACATAGGCCAGGTCCTAAGTCTACAGAAGCCAAGAGCTGTGTCTGCTTTGGGCACAAAGGTCACAGCCGTGTCCTTACAGAGCAAGGGAGACCTGCAGCAGGGATGGGTGTCTCCTTCTCCCTAAACTCCCCAGCATGATCACACCAAGTTCTCTCTCACCTCTCCCCCTGCCAGCCAGGTGCTCTATTCCCAGAGCAGGGCAGTGTACACAAGTGTGAGCAGGGGAGATGGTAATGACAGAGGACCACGAGGGAGGTGGCAGGGGCAGCAGCGTGGTCAGCAGTGAAACCCTGAGTCACCCAGGACAGATGGACTCTGAGATAACTGCCCTGAAGTCATTACCACACCACTGAAATTTGCTTTCCCCATAATTCCCAGGAAATAGTGTTCTTAAGCTCTTGAGAAGCTTTCAGCTAGTTCTGATCATTTTCCACCAGTTGACATGAGGAAAGGAATAACTATAACATTCCTGGTTGAAAACTTTCATAGTAAAAGGATTTCATTGATTTGAAAGTGTAGATCAATCTTTAAGAAGAGAGCATGTGGATAAAAAAAGCCCTAATTTCAAAAAACCTTCCAAAGTCCTGAATAAATTTTTAAACATACCTAAGTTTTGCATTAAATACTCCATGACCATGGTTTTGCACACACCTGTTTGCATGCAGACAGTTTGGAATGTGAATCCTGTTCATGGTGGTATCTTGCACTTGCCATTTTTTGAGAAGCTGCCTATATTTTTTCTGTTGAAGCCACATGGATTATTACATTTGCCTCTAACATTCTGTCCCTGGCCATCTTACAATTTTTGCTTTCCCTGCTGAAATCTCTTTTGAGATCAGACTGAAAGTGCTCTGCAGCATGGCCACCTGAAAAATCAACTTTAGTTAGATATTGAAATAAACCTATTTATTTTTACTTACCTACCAACCTACGTATGGCTGATATAATTCTCTTTCCTTCTGCATTTCCTTTTCCTGTATGTAAAAATGTGTCAGTAATGGTTACCATGATTAGTATTTTGCCTATGACCACAGTAAAATAGTGCTTCTCTGTTGAGTATTTTAATAGGAAATTGTTCTGAATTACAACTGAGCCATTCCCCTGTGCAAAACATGTCTGAGAGCACTGTCTGAAATCACAGAGCTACTTCATGTGAGGCAGAAAGAGGGCATGATGGTTTATGTCCATTCCAACATGCATAGAAAGGCACTTACCATGCCCATTAGGATATTCTTAATTACTGGATAAGAAGCTCGCCAGGGGATCTCAAGCTTTCTCTAATAAGCTTAGAAGGGAGAAGGGCGTGTATCATAGCTGGAGCAAGTTATCTATAGCCAGTGTCATGAATCTTCTTATGTTATACACTCCTAATCATATTAAATTAGACAATCTTTAAGGTGATTGCTTTACATGTTGCAGAGGTGTGAACACATATCCTAGAGGCAGAAGAGACAGAAGCACTTCAGTTAAAATTAACTTTTTCTCTGTCTGGAAGCTTTCCACTCTAAGGTGGAAAGGTTTGTATGGGATGGAAATATTAGCAAGTATGCATTGCTGCCATTCCTTGTTCTCTACAGGCATTTCAGCTAAAGCTACAGCAGGCAAAAGATGCCTACAGTCAGCGCTGCTTAAGGTGTTTCAACTCAAACCTGTTTCTAGTTTCTTGTATATCTTTCATAATTTAACCATTAGAACTGAAATTTTCAATGAATC